AGATCTATTATTAACATAAAAACCAAGCATCCTCAAGCACTAAATTCTGTAACTGGATTTGTCTAAAGCGCTTTTATATTTTGTGGCTCATTCGGAAAACTCCGAATGAGCATGAGTTAAAGAGAGATTTATAGTGATCTTACAAGAAGGTGGCTAAGCAGGTTCCTTCTGGGAGGAATAGTAGTGCATTAATAGTCTTTGGAGTTCTGTCCTCTCTCATTCAGATTAGTTTATGATTAGATATGGAAACGTGGTGGATTTGCTCTATTGGACGTAGAAGCAGCTCAATTGAAAAGAAAATTTCTGTGACTTGAATTGATGGGCATTACAGTGTCTGTTTGTCTATACCTCCACTGAAGATTATTTTTTATTTTACATTTTTCTCTCACATTTTTAGCTTTCAGTATCTGATTAGTCTGTAGAGTAATAGCATTTAACAGTTGGAGAAATATTTACTTTTTATTCCCAATCAGAATTAAGCACTTCCAGAAGATCATGAAATTTATGATCAGACAGGAAAAGAGTCATGACTTTATTTCTGACTTTTTTTAATGATATGCTAGTATGCCTCCATTCCTTTGTGTCCTTAAAGGATTTATTTAATTACTGGCAGCTATCAAAAATATTGAATGATGACCTATTCAACTCAGTGCAATTTGAACACAATTAATGAGACAACATACTTGTAGAAAGAATCCTTTCTTTGTTAGTGTTCACCCTGCAATACTGTTTATTAATTAAAGATAAATTTGAACCAGTGACACTTTGTTTTGAAGCAGTATTTAAAGGGATATTCAACACACTGCAGGTTAGAAAATCAGGTTTGTTTCTTGATGGATGAGTTTGGTTTTGGACAAGAGCCAGAATTATACACTGGTATGATGTAGGTGACAACACCTTTTCTCTTAGATTCTTTCTTACTATCTGTTTTAAGAAACTGCTTTGGTACAGTTTGGGGTTGTAGTACTCCACAGGTGCCTGAAGATACCAGATAAAACTGCAATGCATGCTGCCTTTTTAACTTAATATTTCACTTGAAATGCTTTCTTTAACTTTATTAGTGCTATGGGAGAGAGGTACTAACTGCAGCTTCAGAGTTGAATTCAGAAATGGACTTAGGGACCGTAATTGGAAGTGCTTCCTTACCATCACAGAATACAAAACTCTGTGTTAGGTTTCCATCCTCTCTTTTCACAGCATGAGGAATTATGTACCTTAGGAGAAAATTACAGTCTTAGGAGAAAATTCAGGCTTAGCTAGTGCTAGGGCTTAGGCACTTCTGTCTGCGTAGGAGTTACAGTGTGTAATTCCTATGTGCTGCAGCACCTGAGTATCTCAGGTGAAGGTATCTCAAGTGAACCAGTTTACTTTGCAAATAGAAAAATACAGTGCAGTATGAAAGCTGCCATCTTTTTATCCAGAGGCTCAATGTTAACACTCAGGCAAGGGTATGTAAGATGCAGGGGAAGGAGAATTGTGTTTTGATACTTCCCAGTGGGAAAAAAAGAAGTAAATACTGTATTCATAGTCTTTAAGGCTTTCACTAAATCTGAGAGAGAGAAACCGGGAGGGGGAAGCATGACACAAAAGCTTATGGGTGAGGGAAAGGAAAGGAAAGGAAAGGAAAGGAAAGGAAAGGAAAGGAAAGGAAAGGAAAGGAAAGGAAAGGAAAGGAAAGGAAAGGAAAGGAAAGGAAAGGAAAGGAGGGGAAAGGAAAGGAAAGGAAAGGAAAGGAGGGGAAAGGAAAGGAAAGGAAAGGAAAGGAAAGGAAAGGAAAGGAAAGGAAAGGAAAGGAAAGGAAAGGAAAGGAAAGGAAAGGAAAGGAGGGGAAGGGAAAGGAGGGGAAGGGAAAGGAAAGGAAAGGAGGGGAAGGGAAAGGAAAGGAAAGGAGGGGAAGGGAAAGGAAAGGAAAGGAGGGGAAGGGAAAGGAAAGGAAAGGAGGGGAAGGGAAAGGAAAGGAAAGGAGGGGAAGGGAAAGGAAAGGAAAGGAGGGGAAGGGAAAGGAAAGGAAAGGAGGGGAAGGGAAAGGAAAGGAAAGGAGGGGAAGGGAAAGGAAAGGAAAGGAGGGGAAGGGAAAGGAAAGGAAAGGAGGGGAAGGGAAAGGAAAGGAAAGGAGGGGAAGGGAAAGGAAAGGAGGGGAAGGGAAAGGAAAGGAGGGGAAGGGAAAGGAAAAGAGAGGGGAAAGAGGAAAGGAAAGGAAAAGTTCTGGGTTACAGTTTCTGTTCTGTTAATTGTGTCAAAGTATATACCTTCTGCTAATTTCATCTGGCAAATACTGCTAGTGTCAGGTTCCGTTATAAATGTATAAGTTAAAAGACTAAACAAATGATGAGAGGTGCAGTCAAAAAGACTACAACATGCTAAGGGTTGCATCATTTTCTGGAGCTGTCTGCTTTTGAGGCCTGTGCAGGTGGTGCCTGATGAGTAGTGAAAGAACAGTTCTGAAGAGATTCCATCTGGGAGCAGAAACGATCATTGAAGCAGCACCTGCCTCCTTTTCAGTCTGCTGGCTCGGCCGTGTAGCCACAGGAGTGAGACATATGATAAGTCTTCTGAATTTAAGATATAGTTTATATACCTACAAAATTAATTCACGATTTCTATTCATAAAAAGATCTCATAAAAAGCAAACTCTCCATTTATGTACCACTGAGGTGAATATTAACCTGCTGATACCTTGTGAAACTGATAATAGCAGGGCTGCATAATTTGCATATGCTGATCATTAAAGATTTTTTTCTAAACCAACAATGAGAGCTTCAGTTACAAAGATGATCAAACTTTGAACAATCCTTTGATTGTGAAAGCTCTGGCAGAACCATGATAACGTAATGAATGGGTTATACTGGTATAGAAAATGACTGAAAGTTTTCATAAAAAGTACAAGTAATGATTAGTGTGCTGATACAGTGATAACGAATCCTTCCACAGATTGCTTGGTTCCAGTTTATGTTGCCATTTGCTTTGATTAGTCTTCTGAAGGGCTATGCGTCAGATTTTTTTTCTCCATAAACAAGCCTTTGAAATGCCATGTTTTTAATATTTTCAAAAAGTTATTCACTGAAGTACTGTATCATTGGAATTAAGCAGTAAAAAATCCACTACATTTTAATTGTATAACTTTTTTGCTTTTACATTTGTATCTCAATGTTAAAACCCATTATTCTAATACCTCCAAGTAATAATTTTTGTGATTTTTTTTTTTTTTTTTCTTTAGAGCTTTACTTGCAAATTGTTTTCTTAAACTTGCATTTTACTGCTAAAGTGTGCACTTTGATGACACTTGCTGTTTGTAGTGTAACAGCTTCTGGCTGAGGCATCCAATCAGCAAAAAAAAAATAAATCTAGAAAATCTTCAATGAATAGAATGCATGATTTTTAGTAAAATCAAGAGGAGATCAAGGAAATACATTACTTATGATCTGATCAGTGAGGCAGTAGTTTTAATCAAGAATCTTGCCTATAGGAGAAAGGTCATTTGATGCTGAAGATCCCTTTCAACCCAAACTGTTCTGTGAGTCTGTGTTGGTAGGGTATTTCTCACAAGAGGAGTAGGAGTGGCAGAGTATGGATCCCATCACAGCATGGTGGCGCTGCACAGAAATTCATGTGATGGGGCTGACAGGAGTCGCCTGCTGGAAGTATGGGTGAACAGAGGCATTCAGAAAGTCTCTAGAATGTGGACACTGAGCACAGCTTACAGGAGCAGTGGTCTGTGTGATTTTGTGACATTATATGTAAGAAGAAAAAAACCCCACAGAAGTCACCATACCAATGACACCCCACACACATACTTTTTTTTTTTCTCTGCTGAATTCATGTCAGTCAAAAAATATGGAGGATACAAGTGAGTAGCCACCTTCCCAGCAAGTGCAGCTTAAATCTTCTGTACTTGTTTAATTCTTTCAGTTGCCCAGAACATCTCTGGCTTATCTGATGAATAATTTCCTCCTTGCAAAAAGAGGGAGCCATCAGTCAGTACAAGTCTCCACCTTCCTTAGAAGTTGACAGCAGACTTCAGTTGTTATGTTCTCTGAGATCCACATACAAGAAAGATAGGACCATTAGAATGTGTCCGGAGGAGGGGCACAAAAAGTTATCAGAAGAGTGGAACACCTCTGCTACGAAGAGAGGCTGACATAGTTGGAATTGTTCAGCTTGGAGAAGGAAAGGCTCTGGGGAGACATTCAGGCAGCTTTTTAGTATTTAAAGTTGACTTACAAGAAAGACAGTCTTTTTGCTAGGGCCTCTTCTGACAGGACAAAGGGCAATTATTTTAAACTGATAGAGGGTAGATTCAGGTTAGGTACAAGGAACAAATTATTTATTGTGAGAGTGGTAAGACCCTGGAACAGATTACCCAGAGAAGGGGCGGATGCCCCATCCTTGGAGGTGTTCAAGATCAAGCTGGATGGGGCTTTGAGCAACCTTATCTAGAGAAAGATATCCCTGCTGGCATTTGTTACGTTGTCTTTTCAAGTAGTTGCCTGTAATATTTCAAACTACCACAAAAGAGACACAGATATGTGTCTTCTTAATACATAGAAAAATCTGTTCTTCTTCATGTGCATTGAGAAGAAAAATGTTGGGTTTTTTTAATCTACCATTTCATGTTACATTTCATGTTATATTTCATATACTAAAATGAAGTTTTCTTATCTGATTTTGACTCAGGTATCTTATCTGATTTTGACCTGTTAAAAACAGGTGCTAAGTATCATTTCCAAGGCTTGTATGAAAATTTGCAGTATTCTATCTGCATACATACTGTCTTCTTGTAGGCTTAATCTTCTGATAGATATTTGCTATGTGGTATATTTCAATATTTTATTGTATAGCAAATCTTCTAAAGTGTTTTATAACAGTTTAGCTTTAAAAGTTCCTGGCATGTTTTTGATTGAGCAGTCTGAATACAATGGTTCTACCAGTGAAATGTATCTTATAGAAAACCATACATATTTGCACAGGCTGAAAATTCTTCTTTACATTTCTTTCTATAGGATAAGAAATGGGTTCTCAATCATGAAGATGTCACACTGGGAGAATTACTGGGTAAAGTAAGTAATCAAGGGAGCTAAAAAACATTTAAATAAGTATATGTTAATCATTGAGCCATTTCTTGTTTTGCTATATCTTTTAAATTACTCTGGTACATAATTTTTGTATAAATTCTTTTACTTTAATAGAAAAGACAGCATTCCACTTTATATAAATATAAGACACATTTACTGGTAGAAGAATGGGTATGCTGAAAGTATGTAACTGGTATACATATTTTTCTGTTTTGGAAGGCTTTTAAGCTAACTAGATTTCTGTAAAGCGCAATGTGACTGTTTTACTTTTTGTAGTCTTACAAAAATGTTGCAAAATTTAAAAATTACAAAAAATATATGCTTATGTATTTATGAAATTTCTGGGGTTATGTAAAATATTTTATATAATGAGATTAAATCAAAATCTATTAAGGCAAATATTCTCCATTTTGTATGATTTATTGCATGTTAGGTAACTTCACAATCATTTATGTATAAAATTAATAATTGTATAATGTAGTTTATATCAAAAATTCTGCTTCAGAGCTCCAAGTCTTTAAAATCAGGTAAGCCCCATAACTCACTTAAATTTTTAGCATCTTTGCACCTGCAAAGACGATCCAAGTGTCACACTGGACACAATGTTACAAAGGATTTCCCTAAAACTGAAAAATAAGTGTAAATGAAGAGATAACTGAAAGCAGTAATTGCTGCCTTACTTTGATACACACTAGAAGAATTGATAACTATTCATGAAATGGAGGAGCTAAATACTATCAGAAAGTTCTGTTACCCAGGACAAAATCTCTTTGGCAGCATTAAATTAAGATGTGTCAGGCATTAAAAAAAGCTTTGTCTTGCTAAAAAGCAAATATGGATTAGTCTTGATGAGTAAAGACAGTTAAAGTAATCTGAAAATTTAGTAAACTGAATTTACATGTGCACTGCATATTTTTAGCACAAAGCATTTTTAACATTCAGTGAAGACCCCTCAGTGCTTAAAAGTGACTATAGAAGGATATGTTTTTAAAAAATACAGAAAAGGATCCAAACTTTCTTGGAATACAGTATAAATCTGTTATGCCTCCATCTGTAGAGCGAGGCAAACTTTGGAAAAGGTAAGAATGCCAGGACCATCAGCATCTGTATGATAAAAGTTGAACTACAGCCATTCACCATGGAAGTGAGAAATCTGAGGGTCTTTAAAGTCTTGTGTGGCCTGGAAAACTTTAGGATGAAAATCATGAAAGCTTAATGTGTGAGAGGACTCAAACTTCAGAAAACATGAAGATTTTCCTTCACCTTAGGAGTTAATGGTCTTGTTTATTTACTCAGTGTTAATTCTGTCGTACCTCACAAAATGAAAATTGTATGAAAGAAACATGCTATATTAAAAAAATTGTATCTATAATAATAATTAAATATTTTGAATAAAGTTAAAAAAAAAAAAGCAACGTTTTCAATACTTAAGCAGTCTTTGCGGTCTACATCTTCCTTTATCCTAGGTTATACTAAATAATACTGGAAACCTGTGTTTAGGCCTAAATTTCTTCCCTTGTTACTAGCAGTACATTACTATTTTCCATCTGTGAGTTTTTCTGTCTTCTTGCTTTGGCAGTACCATATTCAAATGAATGATGTAATGAAATCTTCATCACTCAGGAAAGAAAGAAAAACATTTCCAACAGAGCTTTGCTGTTTTTTTAAGTTACTTGCAGCACCAGATACCAGGACACAGAAGTGGAATCCATGTGGAAATTTATCAGATGCCTAATTTAAATTAAGTTGTACTTATTCTTTGGGAAATGCAAAACTTTAATAAAAGTATGAGATGTTTGACTTTGGGAGATTTGTTTTTTTTTCTTCTCCTGGATTTTTTTCACTGATAACAGTGTTTTGTCATATACCCCACAATTTCCTTCTTCATTCCATTTGTGTCCTAATTAATTTTCCTTTTATTTTTATTTAAGTAAATATTACATCTGTTGGAGATTATTCTATGATCTGTATTACTTCAGTTTTCTCCTATGAAAGAAACCCAACAACCAAAACCCAAACCAAAAAATTTACCCTTGGGGTATGTTGTTGAAAACCTAAAAATGGTTATGAAAGGAGCTACTTCTAAAGTCCTGTCCAAATATATAGAGCAGTACTGAGCTTAGATTTAAAAAAAAAAAAAAAAAGTGAATCATTTAACTTTCTCAGGGCAGACAAAAAAGATACTTTTGAAGTGGCTTTAAGTTATTCAGTGGTGTCAAATTTTCTTATTTTGCATTTTTTTTATTTCCTGTATATGTGAGAATGTATATACATTATTATGATATATTTTGTCTTTTCCACTAGTGTGGAAATGAAAGAGTGCAGGAGTAAGAATAAGAAAAAACTGCACTATTATGAATGTCTGTTTACTTTAGAAGACAGTAGGAGGTTTTATGGGAAAATTGTGATTATACAATTAATGGTTTTTTTCTCTTTTGCCATCAAGGTCAAAGTAGAACTTGTACACTGTGCCCATATAATAGATGTCTGTCCATATAACTATGCCTGTGTGAATTGTATCGTGTTAGGAACAAATACTAGAAGAAAACCTCATTTGGCTTCATAAACACATTTCAGAGTTCTCTACCAGTTAGATTAGCTTTCTGCATTATTTTTGTGGAGTTTTTTTAAGATTTTCTTTATTTAGAAGATTTTTTTTTTTCCTGATTTCAGGGTAATTTTGGTGAGGTGTATAAGGGAACATTAAAAGATAAAACTCCTGTTGCTGTAAAAACTTGTAAAGAAGATCTTCCTCAGGAATTGAAAATAAAATTTCTGTCAGAAGCCAGGTAGGTTCTCTAAATTTAATTTAAATGTATACTTGCCGTCGGATGTTGTTTTTTTTTTTCAAGTTTTATTACTAGATGAATTTACAAAATCTGACCTTCAGAAAAAGTCAAGTCCTCTCAGTTTATTCTAGAACTGTTTTCCTTGTAACTAAAGATATGCATTTTAGTATGTGAATGCACTAGCATCTGCACTTGCTGACGCTACCTCTTTGGCAAAGCATGCTATGCCTATAAAACACAATTATGTTAAGTGCTTCCATTTGGAACTTCTACGATGTATCATGAGCATATTTAATAAGATTATACCAGTCATAAATCCTACTTTACATGTGTGACTAGTAGAGCTGATCAAATGTGGCAAGGTTACTGAATAGATTCCATTTAATAATTTTCTTTGTAAGAAGAGTTCACTCCAGTAGAAATATTTTATATTGTGTCAGGCAGTATGTGATTGCATACTTATTTTTCAAATAATATTCATGCCACAATATGCTAAGTATTCTGAATGTAGCCTGAGGTAGATAGGTAAGTTCTGAAACCTCACAGTAAAGGGGTATGTTGAGATAATTTCACAGTTATTTAACATTTTCACTTTTGCTCAGAAGCTTAATATGTTTTCATTTTTACTCTCAAGCTAGTATGATCAGTATGGAAAAGTACAAGATAAAATGTACATTTAGAGATTGAAGATCAGCCACTGTATCTATTGAATAACTTTAAATAGCTCAGAAGTTGGCAAGTGCAGCTTGTTAAACAGCCTGCTGCAAATGTTAGTCTGAAATAAAATGAAATGTATTGTTTCTCACTAGACATGTATGCACTAGGTAGGTTAGCATTTTACTCAAGAACCCAGAAATGGAAGAGGGAAAAAGATGTGTTTTAAGTCAACAAATAGTAGAAAAAACATTTAAGTTACTGGGTCTATGTAGAATTCTTCCTTGCCCTTCATTTCACTTCTGAATCGTAGCATGCTGGTTTAGGCTGCAAATGTTATTAATGAAGTATTGCTTGAGATGATGTAAATTTTTTTAATTCCCAAAATTAAAATTGCTGTCCTTATATTCTTCTGAAACTTACTGTATTAATTAATCTCTGACAATAAAAGTGGAATGAATGTGCTTTTGAAAAGTGCAGCACAGAAATGGAGAGGCATGGAAATGGAGAGGCATGCTGGGCATGCTTTTTTGATGTAGCTCTGCTTCTGGTCCACCACTGAAATTCTGTTTAATTACAAGGGTTCTTGAGAAACTGCGAACCTGTCAGGCCATTATTCAGTAATATAGACATGTTATGTGGACAAAAGGTAAACTTAAAGTGTTCAATCCTTGATTTATTAGCAAATCACTATGCCTTCCATTTAAAACACAATGATGATTGGTCTGTTACATAGCTTTTTTATCTTTATGATAACAATAATGACATGTTCCATTGAAATAATATTAAGGGTTTAAAATATTTTCCTATGTTATTCAATCAGTTTGTACAACAAAATTAATAATGTAAAATAAAGTTAAAATTAATATAATAAACTTACTATATTTTTTGCAGAATACTCAAGCAGTATGATCATCCTAATATTGTAAAACTAATAGGAGTTTGCACACAACGACAGCCTATTTATATTGTTATGGAACTTGTTCCAGGTAATTTTTTCCCCTTTTTTCAGCATATTTTCATAGGTGTTTTTTCCATAATATAAAATGTATTGTTTTCTATTTGCCTTTATTTCCATTCTTATGACTGATCTCAAAAGCCATCTCTCTTGCAAATCTTTGGAAATCTTAGGTTCTGCTAGATTTGGACTGGAGGGATCTCCACAAATCTGTTGTGAGTTTCTTTGTAGGCATTGAAGACAATAGAGTGTGCTGAAAGGTATCTCAGCTCTATCTTCGTTTTGCTCCTGACAAGACAGTACATGGTTCTTCCTTTAACAGTAGAGTTATGTAGTTAATGCTAAGGTCCTTGTATTTAAAGAAACTTCATGGCTGTGTAATGTTTCAATTTTAATAATACAGATTTGGGTCATCTTTGGTAATATAAGAAGGTTTTTTTCTGTATCAAAATGTTCAGGGTTTTTATGTTCAGTTTATGAATAGCTTTTGAGTTATCTTTGTAATCTTGAGTTCATGTTATTCAGGAATGGAGAGAATTTCAAGTGTTGGGATGATAACAGCTATTGGGCAATTTTATTTCTCTGTTGGTTTTCTCAGCAGCTGAAACATGTGTGAGCTTGGTAGCCTTTTGTACTGCAACACTATTTGTTTTACATATCACTGTATTTGTCTTCAAAATTATGCAGCAAGCTGTTTTAAGAACTCATTCAGGAAGACTTAGATTGTTTATAATTCTTGAGTAATGGCTTTAGTACAACAGGACCTATTGGAATTTTCTGCCTTTAGTCAATTAAATTATATTTGTAAGTGTGATTAACTTTATTAAAATGGAGACTAAAAGCAGTGTCCTCGGTTTCAAGGCATACTTTGGTAATTACCTTCTCCAGACATCTCTGAAGATAAAAATAAATCGTGATCTTTTAACACCTTTATCATTCTGGTTCAGGGTTTTCAGAGCCTAGGACAAACTGTTGAAATATACTAATACAATTTGAGGAGGAATTAGTGAAAACCTTTCTGTGATTCTTATGCCTATTTTGCAGTCCAAGTCTATAAAAAAATTCTTTTATGTCCTGGCTTTGAATTTGTGAGAAACAACTTCTTAATTCTTACCCTGTTTTGCTGGCCTTCAAGTCCTCTGTATAGCTTCTGTGCTTCCCTGTCCGCCTAAACCCTGTATTATGTTCAAGCCATTACACTTTTCCATGTTCTTCTACACCTTTGCTAGCACACCATGAGACTGACCAAATCAGCTGTGATAAGGAACTCTGAAGAAACTGGCAGAGGAAAGATAAAACACATCAGTTCAGAGAAGCAGTGATTCTGATGTTACTGATTTTCTGTTTTCCAATAGTAAGTTTGGATGAGATTTCCTCAGATAATAATTACTAGTGTTCTGATTTGGTATTTAATGCTGCCCTCTGAAGAACAAAATAGCAATAGGCTTGTTGACTTGAACTCAGCAAAACTTCTTCAGTATCTGCTTTGTCTGTGATTTGTCTTAAATATGTTTATGCTTGAAGGTGTTTAAGCAGTGACATTCTTTTTAATAACTAAAAACTGCATGGTTTAGCTTAGAACTGTATTCTGCAAATGTATGGCTGAGGATGCCTGTAATTAATAAATGTCTGACAGCTTTTACTGTGAGGAAAAAATCAGAAACATCTCCATAAAATGTGGAATTCTTCTTGTGTTTTCTGTTCTGTTTAATGCTTGCACTTTTTCTACTGTGTTTATATCCTAAATACATGTCAGCTATATGCTTACTATACTATATCTTTCTAGACTGCTGTGGTGTGGCTCAGTAGCAGCTAATTCTGCTTTTTACTTCAGATTCAGATTTCAGTTCAGATTCTTAATTTGTTCAGGTATTAAAAATGTAATTTGAAACTTAGCACTTTATGTAGATAGGTGCTACTCAGTTACTGGTTCTGTCATAAGCTATCTCTGCAAAGGAGTCTTTTTCCTTTGTTGCAAATGTAAATGGGTTTAAAAACTATGCATCTGCATAAAGTCATCAGTAAAAACAATAGAGATGATGGCAGATGCATATTTAAGCATCTGTGCACCCAGTGTTAGATGCAGAAATAGCCCAGATGTTGCCAAAAGAAAAGTAAAGCAAATTGTCAAAGTTATCCTTTGTCTGTCCCTTTTCTTGGTGTGTGAGTTAACATAACAAGGGATGTGTCCTAAAGTAATAATCACATAAAGAAATTTCAAGATAGGTGATGCTCCATCCCTGGCAGTGTTCAAGACCAGGTTGGACGAGGCCTTGGGTGATTTGATTTAGCGTAAGGTGTCCCTGCCCACGGCGGGGGGGGGGGGGGGGGGGGAACTAGATGATCTTAAGGTCCTTTCCAACCCTAACTATTCTATGATTCTATGCAGGAAGGATTAACTGAAATAGTAAATAAGGTAGCAGAGCATTTCAGATACATAGCCAAAGTGAAAAAGTAGATGAGAAATTATATATGTTAATGAAAAAGAACCATCAATTTCTATTTACTTACTTGCCATTGGCCATACTGATCTCACTGTATATGTCCACCCTATGCCAATCCATCATAGATTACTCCAGTACAGAAAGACCCTATTGCCTCTTTCTCAATCCACCACCTGTAAAGAAATGAGGGTAGTATCTCAATGTCATGTATATGTGTTTTACATAAATTCTCTTTAAGGCATGCATATGTGGAAAAATATATCTCGTCTCCCTGTCATCAGATGTGTTGTTAGGGCCAGGCCTCTGCTCAGTCTTGTCCTGCACGTCTTTCTGCAGGAACCTCTACAGGTGAGAAGGGGAAGAACAGAATGTGCCATCTTCTCTTAGAGTAGGTTGGGATGAGGTTACTCTGGTCCTTCTAGTTTCTCAGATAACGTCTATAGAAAGAAACAGTTCTTTAAATTGAGAAGGGAGAAGGCCTGGAAAGACATAACTGTATTTTTATGATGATCCTGTTGTGATGGCATGGACTTAGAATGCTTTATTGATTAGATTAAAGATACAACAGTAGAAGTCCTAATAGCTATGCATGATTTTTATGTCAAGTTAAGAGACTCTACTAATCTGGTAGAAGACAATTTTTTCTGAAGAAAGAAATATACACATTACATATGTCATATATATAGCATATATATAACAAATAATTTAAGAAATGTGTGTTTTACAGTTTCTAATAAAATATGCCCAATGACCGTCACAAGATAAGCTTCTTTCTCACATTTTGAAGAATGTATATCAGGCAACATGCAATTTAATGTAGGCAAAAAAGATACAGGAATTATTTTAAAGAGCTGAGTTCTGTTTTCCAGGTGAGTGTCTGTAATATTGCCCAAGTAAAGTTATATAATAGTTTCTCTGAATACAACTGTTTCTTATTCTTTCTGACACACATACCACAAATAAAAATTTCAGTAAGCTGTGATGGCTACTTACTAATAAGAAACTCCCAATCAGTATTCTGAAAGTGCTGTTTGGGAGCTGTGTGCTCTATTTTGTGTAGGACAATATTTATTTATTGTTTAATTTAGATTTATTATTGCTTTATAAAAACTATTCTTGTAATTGATTAAAAGAAGGATTAAAATATTCCCTGTCTTGTATAAACAGGAGCTAAAATGGCATGTAACGGCAACTATGTCCTTCATATATACCTGAAAAGTTAAACATATAGAAGAGCTGTGATGTAAGACTGCCGTTTAGAAATTTACTATGAGAGTTACCAAAATACAAAATCTAAGATTTTTGAAATCCCAAGCAAATTGTTCTCCCTCTCCTCCCCTCACCTTCAGAAAATTGCCAAGAGAGCCGTTGAAATTGAGTCACTGAGTCTTTAAATTTTTTTCTTACAAATGTTTTGAGATATATAGAAAAATCTGAATTGCAGGCTTAAGTTACGCTAGTTAGCTGCTCTAAAAAAGCAATTAGCAAAGCAGATGGTTATAAAATGTTGATTTGTGACTGCATAATGGATACATTTGTAATAACTTTTAAAGCATTCTTGCAAATAATTTTATTCTTTTTTACCTGAATGACATTGAAATATTGGGCCCAGATCCTTACAAGGGCCTATTACTGAAGCTGCTCTCTGGCTTCTCAGCCACCATGTAATAAAAATTAGCCTTGAGTTTTACAATGTCATAGGTTTTTTTCTGTGAATTTTTTAGTAGACCAAGAACTGAGAAAACAACTCTATTGGAAATAATCTTTGTATTACAACATTTGCTAGCAGAGAACATCTCAGAGAGATTTCCTCTTCTTTGGTAGTTATGACTCTTTCTCCGTGACAACTGTAGTTAACAATTTGAAAATATTAAGACTGTTAAAAAGAAAGAAAATGAGTGTTGACGCAGGAGTCATGGACAACGCAGAGACGATCAATTCCAGCTTCTTCTTGTCTTGCTTAAGCTTCTTCGGGCCTCTCATGGCCTTGCTGTATCTTTTGGGATTATTCAGGGTTTATGTACCAATTATGCATTCTCCTGTGAGAACACTGTCTCCACAAATGAGGAGCACAACACCCATGCATTTGTATGCTGATTTTTTTTGCATTTGTTTTGTGTTCCTAATAGGGGTTGGGCTTTTATTTCTCATTTGCTGTGCACTTACCTTTGCTCATATTATCTGATTCCATATTGCTAGCTTCTACTCTTCACATTCTATTAGGACTCTTAATTTAGGACGGGCCTGAACAATGCATATGCACATGCCCTCACTTGGTAAGTCAGATATGCTGGTTTCTAGATGCATAGACTCCAGTAAGCTCAGCTCCTTGGGTACATGGTGTGATGGCCTGAGCCAGAGAGCATATGAACTAGTTGAGCCTTTGCTAATAATCTGCATAGCATAGTAACAGGAAGGATATGCATCCAGTGGAGGATTGTGTTTTAATACTAAGACATATTCAGGTAAAGAGCCTGTAAACTTGATCTATGATCCTGAGATTTACCTTGCAGCAATACCTAGGGACAGTACAGTGGGAAAAGTCTCTCTACTAATTCTGATGTCGCTGAGGCTACTGGATGTACGG